AGTCAGACTCGCTGGGAAACTGCACAATACATACAAAAATGTATGCAAATGATATATGAGCAGCTCCACCAAATATAAAAATATTCTTTCCATAGTTATGACTCTAATGTGAAGTGTGATTTTCCACTCCTTAGCAATAGTAGTTAGAGTATTGTATTGTACTGTATGTACAAGTTTATTGTGATTCTATATGTGTTTGTAATATTATTTAGCTTTATTTAGCATTCTGTTTAGTTGGTTAACTTTACTGTATTTTAATGTAGTTTATTTTATTTTTATACGACCATAGAACAACTCACTGTAGATCTTTTAATGTTGAATACAAATTAAAATCTGTCACTGTATAGTGGTGACGTATTGCGCGAAATTGTTGCAAGGACAATACTTTTCTCGATTTGCATGCAGTTGTGCGTCGATAAAAAATGCATGGAATGGTCGGCAGTATCGATCAAGTTCGTCTAGTGTGACATTCGTGGCTGGTGAAAAGCAAGATGCCGTATAATCGTTTAAATACGCGTCAAGGAGGAGTGAAAGGCCCTAATTTGGTTCTACAATAAGCGTCATGAAATGTTGGAAAATTACAGTCATTCAAAAAAACTGTTCACATGACAGCAAATGATCACAGTACGGTAGCTTACTTGTTTTCGAAGTGTTGTAATTGTTGATTAGTACTCAGTAGTGATTATATTAACATACAAAATATAAATTTGTTGAATTAATATGAAATGCAAGTAAAATTCAACTTAGTTTTATCGTAAGCAAATGTTTTTGGTTACATGTTAACGCCCGAAGCGATACGATATCCGCCACGTTATCCTTCGCACGAATTAAATATGACAGTTCAGCGACCTCATGGTGAAAGCAACCCGGAAGACAAGATTTACCGATGTTTCAGTGCGATCTTTTGGCTTCGTTTTTCATGGGGAAAAAGGCATAAACGTACCGTCCCAAATAAGAATGTACCAGGTGCAATTTTTCTGGGAAAAAAATAAACGTACCGGTACGTATATTTGGGACATTTAGCGTTGTGGGGGCAAGCTCTCCTGAGTAGCGACATATTTTTAACTTCGCCTATGGCGTGATCAGTGGATTACGTAAATAAACTTTCAATGAGTACATGCCGACCTAACTAAACTTCTTTATGTCTGTTTATGAACAGCGAGGACGCATCTCATAGAACAATAGCTGGAAAATCATAAACAAATGTAAATGTTGCGGAAATCAAGCATGGACGATAATGATTTTGAGCGAGGCAGAGTCTGGCAAGCGTCTCAGAGCAGCATTGCGCCGACACCACCTACGACGT